TTCAAAAGAGTTTTAATTAATAGAACAGAGGGAGACCACGCTATGTTCTTTGAATTAAATATTTATGAGAAAATCATTTAAAATCTTCGCGACTGTTCGGTAGTATTCCGAAGACGTTTTTCCATTATATTATTACGAGCTTTTACGTAAACAAGCTTAAAAGGGATAACCATATTAGAACTTAGTAAACAAAGATTGAAAGTATCATGTATCATTTCTTTTCTCAAATAGAACTATCAATGAAGTTGCCATACATTGTTGGCTTTACTGACCTATTTCAGTGTTACCAATCACAAGTTTAGCTTTTGGATGTTTCATCTTCAGCTCTAACAGTTCTTCCAATGTTGCTGGTCTGATCCAAGTCACAAGGTCTCCTTTAATGTACAGACTCTTTGGCTTGGCAGCCTCTGGAAGCTACAAAATGCACATCTGTCTAGTATTACTCCTTGTAGACCCATTATACACGTAGACCTGGTGATCTACGTGTGTGGTTTCTGATACTTGCGCAACACTGTTAGCTTTAATGCACTTTAAGGCGCCGCCGTTATAAAGTAAACAAATACAAACTTACCATCAACTCAGGTGGAAAGATCACATCCTGTGTTGGGTCATATGGAGTTAACTTAAGCGGCCCTTTGAGAATCTACGTAATCATAAAAAAGACCACGGTTGTTTCATTACACCATAGAGATTTTTTGAATGTTACATTATAACAAGTCCAGTATACGTTTATTACTAGGAAAATATGATCAAGCTTGGAGCATATAAAAACAGATTGACTCACGTTTTGGTCGGAATTTTCTTCCGTGTGATTAACAATGACTTCATTTTGATTAACGTTTAAGCAACAGCCATTGATGCCTTTCCCACAACATTCCTGCAACAAATAAATAAGGTTTTTCTTCCGTCAGCAGAGCATAGTTAATACGCTGATTGGTTAATACACTCATACCTTAATCAAGCCAATGACTACCACTTTTAAAAAAAAAATACAAACTTGGTAAGACTATTGGCTGTCCGATCCCATTTGGTCGCATTTGGTAAGACTCTTTGCCGAGTTTTCTGGGAAAAGGTAACGAGCAAGGACAGCAATCTTTCAAAGATTCCGGTTGGAAGTTCTTATTTAAAACTAACGGGTCTGACCTTTGTGAAGGTTTTAAATCCTTCTATTATTGGTCTGTATCCGGTACATCGACATAAATTACCTGAAATTACAAAGTAATGGCCAAGAAAATAAATAAGAACAAAGTAATGGCCAGTTAAATAAATAAGAACAAAGTAATGGCCAGTTAAATAAATAAGAACAAAGTAATGGCCAAATAAATAAATAAGAACAAAGTCAATTTTCACAACCATTTCAAGCTAAAACTCAGACCTCTCTCTTCGAGCGTTCAATTCTTTCCATGTCTCTGGTAGCTACAAGGGTTTGAATTTCGCGCATAAAGGTCAACCACGCCACGTAACATTTATTTAAAAGTGTCCACAATCATCACAACAGTGTTTTGTGTTACCTAGTCTTTGTCAAATTGTCGGGCCCAATCTCCTCTACGTCTCTCGCCCGAGGAAAAATTAAACACAAGACGACAGACAAGTGTTCACTCACGCTAAACCGTTTGCTTCATGTTTTAATTCACTTCTATAATTTCCCAGAACGCGTTTCAATGCTAACTGAGATTTTCCGTCCTGCGTTCTCATGGCCTGTTCATCTGCATGTCTTATAACAATGGGAAGACGCTATGAATACATCAGGGAATACCTTTAAACGATCGATGTGTTAAAACCTTTCTTATACTACCTTCAAAGGCACTTTCCATTTCTTTGTGTGTCGGTAAAGGGTTGTTCCTCAGCAGAGCATACATGGACATAACAATTCCTGGAGTGCAAAATCCACACTGGGATCCATGAAATTGAACAATCCGCTCCTTAAATATAGAAAAAAATAATTACAAAGCTGCTTTAGAGGTTTCCAAATTCAACTCAGACCACAAAAATGATGTAAAATTCCATCAATGTTTAAATCATACTTTACGTCACTACACCAAATAGTCGATCTAGCTCTGCGTTAGCGTTTAACGAAAAGTCCAAGACCAACATGCCCAGTTAGCTTAAATTTACCGTTTGCTGAGCTGAGAGATAAAAGTAGAAAGCACCTTTAACCAATCTCAAGTAAGAGATTTTCATCGTGCAAGATAGTGTATTCAGCGATTTAATTTTGATAAAGGTTGTCCCATAAAATCGTAAAAGCGTAGTAGGTAGTAAAACACTGGCATTGCTTGGTTGAAGCTCATGGTGTTTCAGCGAGAGAGGAGAAAGCATGAATACACGCCTTCTATCACGTTGAAACACCTGGAGTCTCAACAGGCCTTTCACAGAAGCCGCTGAATCCCTGCTAATGGCTTTTCAGTCATACCGGTAGCGGGTGAATAGGGAACGGAAGCGAGAGATTCTGACCCTATACCGGCTGTGTTTACCTGCACCGGATGCAAGGCAGTCTTGGTGCTTCCGATACCTTCCACTGTAGTAACAGCCATGCCATCAACTGCACACAACGGCAGCAAACAACCATTTGCAGCAAAATGTCTGACCAGTGTTAAAGTTGAAATCCTTGCTGTTTTACTTGTGTTGAATCGTGCAGTTTTGCTCTCAGCGAAACCCGAGTACGACTACTTTTTAC